CCTGCAGCATCCATCCCATGAAGTTTTTCAAAAGCAATGCCAGCTTGGACATGTGGTCCCCCTCTGCTTTTGGGGTGATGAGGGCCGAGGGCCCAGAAGGAGTGGCTACTTGGAAGGTAGCATTGAGTGCCCCCTTGGTCTTTCAGAGCAGGATGTTGATTGCTCTTGCTGTCATTCACTCCAGTCTTTGCACAGCCACTGGCTCCCGAACGAGCCCCAACAAATTGATTGTTTGACCCCAAAGATGTGAAAGATTGACCAGCTGGGGACAAATTACTATAGCCATTCCTTTTTGAAGCGCTACTACCTGTTTGGGCTTCCTGGGTACCTGTATGATGGCAAGCCTGGAATAATTGAACAACATTTGGAGGTTGTGGCTGCTGATCTGGTTTCTTTTTTCAATACAGGAGTTTTTGTTGGGGAGACGGGAGAAGCAGTACTTTGGTGCTTTAATTGCATCAAAAGGAGACATGAAGTTCCAGTCCAAGACCATTGCTTGGATGAACCGGTCCTACAATAACCTTGGAACCCGAAACCATGCCGGAATTTGTAGCCTATGCAAGGCCGGAGAGGCCCACGTCCCCATGGAAGACGTGCAGCTGGAACCGCAGTGGAAAGGCACCATGTACTTGGAGCGACCCTGGAGTGATGATTGGGTTCCGGCTTTCACAAATTCCCTTTGATCCAGCTCGTCCGGAATGGCTGTATAAACTTGATTTCTTTCATTGTTTCAAAGTAGGGCTGGGGAGAGACCTGGTGGGATCCGGTCTTGTCTGGCTGTGTGAACTCGGCATCTTTGACTATGAGAATTCCAGTCAAAACATAGATAACAGGCTTTGCAGATGCTATTCTCATTTCAAACTCTGGGCTTTGACCGAAAAGTATTCACCAGCTCGCCGTTCATTTACCAAGTCTTTCATGAATCGGAAGACATCAATGGATGCTGCCTGGAGCAACAGTAAAGGCAGTGACACGATGATTCTGCTCAAGTACTTGCGCTTTCAACTTTCTTTGGTGATTCGGGATGCAGGGACAGCAGTTGCGCAGCATGTTCAGATTTTGACACTTTTGCGTGATGTTGTTGGCCAGGGGATTCAGATGTGTGATCTGATCTATTCCCACAATATCCTCCTTCCAAGGAAGTGTGCCTCCCGGCTGTATCTACACATCATGGTTCTGATCCGTGGCTACAAACGTGTGGCCGCACATTGCTTGCAGCACAATTTCTCAGGGTTCCGATTGAAAGCAAAATTACATGCCATCGCCCACATTGGGCTGGAAATCCGCGAGGGGCTGAAGACTGCAGCAGCACGTCTGCTGAACCCGGTGATATGGGCTTGTGAATTGAATGAGGATCACATTGGTCATGTTGCCAGAGTGTCACGGAAGTTGGCTACTAAAACGTTAGGTCTTAGAATGGCTCAAAGATATCTGCTGAAATCCAAAGCGATTTTCAGGCGGCATTTTGCCAAACAAAAATTCACGAAACCAAGAAAGGGTTGAATAGGAACCAAGCTGGATGCTGAGGCTAGGCAGGACTGAAACCCAAAGAAATATAATATAATAGAAGATGATAGACTAGTTTATAACTAGCCCCCTAAAATATACAAGGTTAGTTTTGGGAATGTATCTTGTTTGTTTTGGGGTCAACCCTGGTGGCCTGCTGATATTGCCGGGTTTCCCGGCGCATTTCATCGAAGTGGAGGCCGCAGCAAAGGACAAACGGGTGGCTGTTGGAATTGTGGGTTCCATGTTGTTGGCTGGCCCAAGTGATGTTGGTGACCAAGTATGGGGACGAAGTGGGTATCATGGGGACCAAATCTAACTTCTTCTTCTGTGAAGAAGCCATTTTTTTGGTGATCGGGAACATGACAATGATTTTGAGGTCCAAACCGAACTGCAAGCCTACATAACAAGATACTTTAACCATAGAGTGGGCCACAGAGGTGAGACTGCTGTTTCAAACCCAAACCTTGAGGCATGACCAGCTCATACCGATTGAAAGGATCAATTCATAACATACCTTTTTGGAACCCACAAACATAATTGGTTTAACATGACAGGACGCAGTAACATGATGAAACCATTGTGGGACAAACCACTTTCCGGCGTTTTTTTTTAATTCCGGCTGTTTTGAAGGTTTCCGGCGTTTCCACCATCCTCCGGCGTAATTGCAATAAAGAAATGCCTCCGGCAAAAAAAATTGCCGGAAGAGTTTCTAGGTATGTCTGTGGACATGGCTGGGCGAGTGGTGGCTGCTCTCTTGGAAGAAATTTGGGACCATCGAGTCCTATTGGATCTGAAAGAGCTGATTGCCGGAGTGCGAGGACGACACGAGCCGTGCAGCTTTGCAAGACTTCTGTGCTTTGCCGTGTCTTTTAAGTAAGGCATGGTGGCAGGTATTGGAATCACGCAAGAGCAGGGTTTCCAAGCTGGAAGACCTCACAGACTTGGCTGGTAAGCTTTCCTTACGCAATCCAACTGAGGCCACTTATGGCGCATTGGTTTGCCTTGCCTTTTTTGCGGAATATGGCGAAGCATGGACGGAATCAGATCAGTTGTCATTGTTGAAGCAGCAAAAAGCCAAAATCAAAAAGTGGCTCTCGAAGTTTGGTCCGTGTGTGACACGTTTGGAAACATTGCCAGAGTCCTTAGAAGATTTGCCACCTGCCATGCAGACCACCATATATCCAGATGGATGTACTAGTGGTCAGCCAAGCATTATGTCTTTGGAACGCTTGCGCAGAATGATTGCCAATTTTCGATTACGAGATCGAAAGGACGGCATGGCTTCTTCTAGCCTTCCTGTAAGTGGACAGGAAAGTCATGCTGAAGGCGTGGCGCAGTTGGTGGGTGCTTGCGCTGGTCTTGTGAGGCAGGCAACTAGCCATGCTGCTAGTGTCACGACTCCGCCAGAGCCACCACGACTGCGTCTTTACACGAAGAGCCCTGACCCAAAAGGACATTCTTCCTTTCTGGCCATCAAGGATAAAGAAGATGTCGACAGAGGTGAGACAGTTGACAATGCAGCAGCTCAGGCGCTGGAGGTAGCCAATAAGGCACAGACTCCTGCTCAAGCCATCGCTGCTTTGCAGACAGGCTTGACCACTGAGGCAGCAAGGGACAGGCCGCCTTCCCAGCGTATGCCGCGCCCTGCTGCTGCAAAATCTGCGTTGAAGAGACCAGCGTCTTCTTTGCAGTGAGGACGTGGCGCCAACACAGAAAGCTCCAAAGTCCTCTTCGAGCACTAGGATCGCAGCACAGAAGAAGCCTGCAAGGAAAAAGAAAGCCCAGTCCAAGTCTATGCAAAAAGTAGACAAAGAGGCCAGACGAAAGCTTTGTCTGTCACAAATCCCAAAGGCAGTGCTTCAGCGCTATTCCTCTGGGTGCACTAGTTGCAGGCACGGCGCATGGTGCACCGTTTCTTGCTGGATCAACGCGGCTATTGGCACGATTAGAAACTAATTTTTGAGCCGGTAGACCAATTATCATAAGGACCTTCTGGAAAAAAGATTGATACATTCTTTCGGGAGGGGAAGGATTTACATGTTTTGCTTTCATGCAGCAACTTTGCAAGCAAAGCATGATTTGTTTTTTCCGTGGCTCCTTTTTTAGGGCTCAAACCACAGCCGTGTCCTTCATGCGGCGCCTTTCCGCAGGCAGGGCGAAACGGGTACAGGCTGGAGAGGTTTAGGCTTTTACTTTATAATACTGCAGAACAACAGAAACGCCATTATTTATTCATTATATATATATATTATATAACTTAGTGTCATATTCAGATCTTTTTTTCCGGTAAAACTGGGCTACATCTTCGCTCTACCTGCAGAGTGACGAGCCACCTGCGCGGTGACTCGCCAGAAGAAACCACATGCGTGGTGAGGGGAAGCACCTGCGTGGTGTTTCCAATTCGCCCAATGGGTATACGATTTACCTGCGTGGTAAATCATGCGTCCACCTGCGGGGTGGCGGAAACAGCTGCGTGGTGTTTCATGGGGATTCACCTGCGTGGTGAATCAGACATCCACCTGCGAGGTGGTTGGGTCACTGGATCACCTGCGTGGTGATCCGCGCTCACCTGCGGGGTGAGGATTCACCTGCGTGGTGATCCAGCGTGTGTCTTGTGTGAGTGGCTGCCTCCATTTCTTCCTAGACTATATAGCTATACATACAAGAATAAATATACTATATATATATATAGATGCAGGTGTATATACCCCCATCCGATACGAGAATGTCCGAATTAGTTCAAAACCTTCTCTAACTGCATGCATATATATATATATACCTAGAAACTCTTCCGGCAAAAGTTTTTGCCGGAGGCATTTCTTTATTGCAATTACGCCGGAGGATGGTGGAAACGCCGGAAACCTTCAAAACAGCCGGAATTTTAAAAAAACGCCGGAAAGTGGTTTGTCCCACAATGGTTTCATCATGTTACTGCGTCCTGTCATTTTAAACCAATTATGTTTGTGGGTTCCAAAAAGGTATGTTATGAATTGATCCTTTCAATGGGTATGAGCTGGTCATGCCTCAAGGTTTGGGTTTGCAACAGCAGTCTCACCGCTGTGGCCCACTCTATGGTTAAAGTATCTTGTTATGTAGGCTTGCAGTTCGGTTTGGACCTCAAAATCATTGTCATGTTCCCGATCACCAAAAAATGGCTTCTTCACAGAAGAAAAGATTAGATTTGGTCCCATGATACCCACTTCGTCCCCATACTTGGTCACCAACATCACTTGGGCCAGCCAACAACATGGAACCCACAATTCCAACAGCCACCCGTTTGTCCTTTGCTGCGGCCTCCACTTCGATGAAATGCGCCGGGAAACCCGGCAATATCAGCAGGCCACCAGGGTTGACCCCAAAACAAACAAGATACATTCCCAAAACTAACCTTGTATATTTTAGGGGGCTAGTTATAAACTAGTCTATCATCTTCTATTATATTTCTTTGGGTTTCAGTCCTGCCTAGCCTCAGCATCCAGCTTGGTTCCTATTCAACCCTTTCTTGGTTTCGTGAATTTTTGTTTGGCAAAATGCCGCCTGAAAATCGCTTTGGATTTCAGCAGATATCTTTGAGCCATTCTAAGACCTAACGTTTTAGTAGCCAACTTCCGTGACACTCTGGCAACATGACCAATGTGATCCTCATTCAATTCACAAGCCCATATCACCGGGTTCAGCAGACGTGCTGCTGCAGTCTTCAGCCCCTCGCGGATTTCCAGCCCAATGTGGGCGATGGCATGTAATTTTGCTTTCAATCGGAACCCTGAGAAATTGTGCTGCAAGCAATGTGCGGCCACACGTTTGTAGCCACGGATCAGAACCATGATGTGTAGATACAGCCGGGAGGCACACTTCCTTGGAAGGAGGATATTGTGGGAATAGATCAGATCACACATCTGAATCCCCTGGTCAACAACATCACGCAAAAGTGTCAAAATCTGAACATGCTGCGCAACTGCTGTCCCTGCATCCCGAATCACCAAAGAAAGTTGAAAGCGCAAGTACTTGAGCAGAATCATCGTGTCACTGCCTTTACTGTTGCTCCAGGCAGCATCCATTGATGTCTTCCGATTCATGAAAGACTTGGTAAATGAACGGCGAGCTGGTGAATACTTTTCGGTCAAAGCCCAGAGTTTGAAATGAGAATGGCATCTGCAAAGCCTGTCATCTATGTTTTGACTGGAATTCTCATAGTCAAAGATGCCGAGTTCACACAGCCAGACAAGACCGGATCCCACCAGGTCTCTCCCCAGCCCTACTTTGAAACAATGAAAGAAATCAAGTTTATACAGCCATTCCGGACGAGCTGGATCAAAGGGAATTTTTGTGAAAGCCGGAACCCAATCATCACTCCAGGGTCGCTCCAAGTACATGGTGCCTTTCCACTGCGGTTCCAGCTGCACGTCTTCCATGGGGACGTGGGCCTCTCCGGCCTTGCATAGGCTACAAATTCCGGCATGGTTTCGGGTTCCAAGGTTATTGTAGGACCGGTTCATCCAAGCAATGGTCTTGGACTGGAACTTCATGTCTCCTTTTGATGCAATTAAAGCACCAAAGTACTGCTTCTCCCCAACAAAAACTCCTGTATTGAAAAAAGAAACCAGATCAGCAGCCACAACCTCCAAATGTTGTTCAATTATTCCAGGCTTGCCATCATACAGGTACCCAGGAAGCCCAAACAGGTAGTAGCGCTTCAAAAAGGAATGGCCATAGTAATTTGTCCCCAGCTTGTCAATCTTTCGCATCTTTGGGGTCAAACAATCAATTTGTTGGGGGCCAGTGGCTGGGCAAAGACTGGAGTGAATGACAGCAAGAGCAATCAACATCCTGCTCTGAAAGACCAAGGGGGCACTCAATGGTACCTTCCAAGTAGCCACTCCTTCTGGGCCCTCGGCCCTCATCACCCCAAGCTGGCATTGCTTTTGAAAAACTTCATGGGATGGATGCTGCAGGCGGTAGGCTTCCCAAAATCCTTCCAGTTGATCCTCTAAAGGCGAAGCGCCCCCAGCAATGAGTTGCGGGTACCTTTTCAAAAGTAAACTTAGCCAATCTGATGGGTTCATGTATTCAGTGACCACGGATGCCCCATCCGACAGAGTGTGCTCTAGCTTTCGAATAGGAACCGGTAAGGATAAACCCAAGCGAACAAAGTGCTTGTGGAGGTCACGTTCTGAATTCCGTACATCCCTCAACTTTTCTTCAGATGGCAATTCGTCTCTGTCCCGTTTTCGGCTGAGGTTGCTCGCGACCATTGACCGTTTCACTTTGCAGGCATGGTCCTTGGCTGTGACGATGGGGCATGAAACATTTTCTGAGCAAATGGATTGAGAACCCCAAGTTTAAATAGCATCAGGAAAGGTGCGGACATCAAATATTTTCCAACCAATTGGACTGGACCCCAAATTTAGACAGCATGAGGAAAGGTAAGGGTGGAGCCTTCGGTTTTAGGGTGCAGTCTCGCAACTCCGTCCCCCAAACTCTCTGCCCACTGCTGTTGCTGTGGATCATCAGCGCCCAGAGGGCCTGCCAAGTCAATTTAGCAGAACGATTCTTGTTTGGATCTATATTTGGGAATTTGACAGCAGCACAAAGAGCCACATTCCATCATGGCTATTTTGGCAGAATAGCTGCAGCGCAATGGCAACGTATGGAAAGTGAAAGCAATGAAAGCACCAGCATTTTTCCAAGCCTGCCACATGTCACTGCGATCTTTTGAACCCCGATCTACACATCCACGTTTCAGTAGATGTTTCAACCCATTTCACATGGTGCGTATTGTCTCTCAAAAGCGCAAGGTCAGTTGACCTTTGATGACTTAGCAAAGCCACCTCTAATCCTAAGACTTTGCCTTAGCCACGGCCTTGGCTTTCTGGCCTTTGCCAGGCGTGTGGGCCGGTGCGGATTTGGCCTTTGCCAAACTTGCCTTGGCCTTGGGGGTGGCCTTCGGGTGCGCCTGGGTTTTCACAGGCTTGCAGACAGTCCTTGGCAGGCTCAAAATGATGATAAATGTGTACGGTATGAGAACTTGTAAATTGCAGAGCCTCCAAAACTTGACTGCAGAAAGGCTTTCTAAGCAGCATTAACTGGGAGCCCCACTTGATACGATCATCCAGTGCATAAGCTTCAATTGCCCTTGGCAAAGAAGAGGCCAAAGAAGGGAATGGAGGGAAGTAGGACCGTATGGAGATCAAATCTTTAAGGCTTTGCTTTATCGGATCGCAGCCCCGAGAAAACAAAATCAATGGTCGGAAGTTTTGGGAACAGCATTTGTCCAAAATGGGTTGAGTAAGTTAGGGTAGTTGGGTGTGGCTTGTCTGGATGTAAGCCCCCAACTTGCGCTTAGCTTCCTGGAACTCAGCCTTCATGACCTTCAAAGACCTTGAGCAGGGTAGCCGTTTAATGCCACCCCAAAGAAGAGAGAACGAGTAAGAGAAAAGTTGCCATAGTCACGATGTTTGGTAGATAACATTTTGTAGCAACCCCAAAAAGTCACTGAGGAACCAGCGGTCGATCAAAACCGTCGACCAACCCTTTGGTGTAGCTGTTCTGCAATCGGTCCTGGACCGCACCAAACTCTTTGATGAGGCCTTCCACTTTGTCGCGCAACCTTGGAAGATCTTGGGAGGCAAGAAGCTGGGCAGTCTGGACATGAGCAATCCCACAAGCGCAGGGCCACCATTGCAGCAACCTCTCGGTTAACATATTACATAATCTTGGGCCTCCAAAAAAATATTTGAGACTAGTACTGGCTTTGAATAGGAGTCATAGTCGACGGGAAGGCAGCCAAGTGAGCTTCCAGTTTTGTCAACCTCTTGGACAAGCATCGCAACACCTTGGGGCACATGTTGGCAGAAAAGCTGCCACCTTCAATCTCTGGGAACTGGAGGTGCTTGAGCACCTTCTCCTGCTCCTTGCCGTCATCGCTGTCGGACGACGAAGCCTCATCCCCAGAATCCTTATTGGAATGCGGGGCTGCAGATTTCGCTGACTTGATGTTCTTCTCAACTTCATCATCGGGCTCGCGGGTGGCATCAGGGACTGACTTCCTTTTGTTCTTCCCCGAGGTACCTGCCAAGAATCATGAAGTTAGAAGCAGCATGTTTGTTTCAGTGTAGCACTACGACTTTCATTCATGCATTTAAGTTTGGATAGCAGTGCGGTGGCTGCCTTCACCCAGCATATCGAAATTGTCAGTGTCAGCCTTTTTGACATGTTTGTTCTTGGTGTGCGATTCATCCTCCTCGATGAACTCACGGAAAATGTTTCGCTTAGTGCGCCTTAGTTCCCACAGTGGGGGCTCCAAGACAGTGGATTGTCTTTTTGGTTTTGGCACGCAACTCAATGAAAATCTTTAGAAACCTTTTGGCCACCAAGCTGCTTCCTGGAGCCTTTCATTTTGACACAGGTCCAATACATCTTGCCCTCACCATAATCAGACTTCCTGCAGCACTAACAAATCTTGTGCAAAGTGATGCATGCGCTTGCTGCTTGCTGAGGACATGTTCAACCCGCAAGACATTCATAGGCGGCTAGGCCTGATCCAACCCGGCTTGCCCGCGCAAGTCTTCTTGACGTTGGCAATCTTTTTCCTGGGACATCTTAGTAGATCATCTTGGAAGAGCGACTGGTACATACGTAGATACCCAATCCGACTTTTCATTTATGGACAGAATATTTTGTTGAAACACCAAGGTGGTTCCATAAGACCTTTGAGTTCTGCAGGACTAAGGTTTGCATATGCAGGCTTTAAGCCAACAGCAAGCCACACCTATTTCAAATATAAACGCCTTCTATTTGGGTATATGCGCATATATTTCGAGCTAAGCCAGCATGTGTACTCCTATATATATATATACACACACATTTGTCTTCCATAAGGCCTAAACCCAATATGTACGAACTAGACATCTTATACAGGAAGAATGCTTTCTCTATCCCCCATGGGTACCATTCTGTGTCTATGTGGCCCCCCTTCCCCCATGGGTGTCATACAGGAAAATGCTTCCAGGCTCTCAGAGAAAGGTTTGTCTTGGGTTCTCATATCCTCCTCTGTGAGAAATTAATACTCATCCTCAAGAACTTGCTCATTCACTTCCTCATAGATACGTTGAATTTTTCGGCGGAAAGCATCCTCAGAGTCAAGTTGTCTGAGATATAAGGGGCCACCATCATGAAGACTTACTAAAAGAAGGGCGCGTTCCTACCTACTTGGCTGGTTTAAATTGAGGGGTGAATTTTGATGAATCGATTTGGGGTCGCCAGGTCAATTGATTTTTCCCACTTGGGGGTTTTATACAACAGTGGTACCCCCAAATCATCCTTTTCAATTCATCCTCTTCGAGTTGATTTTCCATTATAAACATTCATTTTGGGGGACCACCATTTCAGGAAACCTCTACCTCTCTGTTGATGATTGGGAAAACAAAAGCCCGTAATCATAAGTCAACCATTTTTCCAGGTAACTGGACTGTACGCACAACGTTCAAACATTTTCTCAAGGTTTCCCCTTTGATCCAGATCTTTGTACATGTGAACGGCCTCTTGGGGAACTTGGTAGGACCCATCCGAGCGGGGGCTAAACAGCCTGCGAAGGCGAGCTCCAGCAGCTGCTTTGGAAATCTGTGGCGGCTCAGGCGGGGATTCGGGCTCATACTCATCCCCGCTGTCACCATCAGATCCCAACTCAATGGGTGACTTGGGCGCCGTCTGAACAGGAGTCTGAAGGGAAACATCCATTTGGCTAGGTTCAGGCTCTTGATTTTTTGCATCCACAGGTTTGGTGGGCAAAGGCTGGGTAGGCTCAATGGTCTCAGTAGGCTCTGTGGCTTCAGTGCCTTCACCCTGAGTAACGATAACATCGTCATCCTTTGGGGCGGGTTCCGCCACAAAACCAGTAGGACCACCCACATCAGGTAGTGACTCCTGGAATCACCCCAAGCATACAAGAGAAAAACTTAAGACTAACAGACTAACATATCATCAGTGAAGGAGGGCCAATTCAAACAGAAAACGGTTTGACTTTTACACAGCTAGGTGACTTCCGACTTTGGTGGTTGGGCCCCTGTCTCTGCCCATGGATACCCAGCAGGTGGCCACGGCTTCGAAGCCTTTTGCTGGAGTTGCTTCTTCTTCGCCTCAGGCCAAGCAGCAATAGGAGAAGGGTAGTGGCATGGCTGGCAAAGTGTTGTGGAAGCTTCAAAGATTGGGCGATGATTATGTACAAACACATGCAAAATACTAAATGTACCAAGGGCCAAATAAAGGAGATGATTGAAATTTCCAGAGCCATAATTCTGGTCCCGAATATGAAAACGCTTAAAGGTCACCTGTTACAGAATACCAAGTTACTAACAATTCTTCCCTTCGGGCTGCCATCTCTGCATATTCCGAATCATGCTCAAGGGACATTGTTTGCGCTCGGAGAAGCTCTGCCCCACGAACTAAGGTTTGGCTTGACAGGGTCCTACTAGGTAAGCTTTGCATTGCCAGCTTTCAGCCAAAATGTCTATGGATCAATGGATTTTTGGTAGTATACTACGTTACAAGACTCTCAAAAATATCGTTACGGGCAATTACGCCGGAATTGCGGGCAATTACGCCGGAATGACGGGCAATTACGCCGGAATTGGGGTGCAAAAAAAATGATTCTTTTTTTGCAAACCATGAAAATGTTGAGTTCCATCGTACTCTTTATTCTTTTTGGCACCAAGTAGGGTCCACTCCAGGGGAATAATGAATTTAGGCAATTGCACTATGTAAACACAGCTGCTAGTGGCCAGCTTCTCATTCTCTAATTTCTACACTTTAATTAGCGCGACCCAGCAGAGTCATCAGATAGATGAAGGGATGACAGCTCGAAACTCTTCTGGGATGTTCAACAGCTTGGATGCCCGTGCGTAGGCGTAAGCCGGCGCAAGTTCAGCATCAACCCACTGGTCTTCTCCGATCTTCATGTTGCCAATGAGTTCTGGTAAGGGTGTTGACTTGTCAACCTGACCAGGGGACCTTTCAAAATGAAGGATTCCCTTCTAATTACCAAACCCAACACCCAACGGATTGTGAGACCACCAAGGCCTCAGGTAAAGGCCCCCGCGTTTTGCGCAAGGTGCGGCGAGCTTGGAGTACAGCAGCTGCAAAGGACGGGGTGTATGTCCTTGGCCAAGCTCACGGCCGATTGGAGGGTAGGTATGGTCATGGAAGGTCGATGAGGGCAGGTATGGTCATGGAAGCAACCTGGTTTTCTATCCTAAGTGCCAATGAGGATCTGTGTCGCTTTCAAAGCTTTTGTGCCCTTCCATCTACGACGCCCCTTCGAATCCCAATAAGCCACCGCGGTTTTGATGACACTCTTCATTTTATTTTTTTTAAGCTTCCCCAAGTCAAACACGGACACGCCCCAAGACCAGCTCCATAAGGATGTCCTCTTTGGTGTCTTCGTGTTGAAATGCTTCATCCAAAATGAAGTCCGGTACATCTTAGTGAGCACATGCAGTGGCGAATTCTTAAAAGCACCACAGTCATAACCATTTTGAGGGCAGAGGAAATTAGGGCAGAGGAAACATAGAAACATTTGGGTTGATGATGGTGGCAGTTGATTTCCACCATGGCACTGGTAAGCCCAACTTCCTAAGACGTCGGGCAAGCCATTGCCACCTCTCATGCTGATTGATGATGCTGTTGTCAGGGTTTTCAATCAGCACCGTGCCACGTGCACAAACCGTCAATAGTGCCAGAAGCATTGACCTGATGGTCAACACAGCTGCCTTTTCAAAAAATAAAATGCAGTGGTGGCAAAACCAATTAAACTGTCACACCAGCCCTCTACTGCCCGTCCCACTTGCCTGCACACCAGCAAGTTGGATTTGGCCACAGAAGGATGCCACCAGATACCCTCTGGGGTAAGCAAATCACGGCCGCTTGTACCAGCATTTATTTGAACAAATGTTGAGCAGAGAATACCCATGGCCAAGGTGAGGTAGTCATACTTCGAATGTAGAATGCAATATATTGCAAGCCTAGGTATATACCAAGCGTTGTGTCACAACATCGACCATTCAATTTTGACAGGGCCACCGTGGTGGAACCAAACAGTAATGTAAACCCAAAGTATAACTATTCCCAATCCATTCGAAGGGGCAAAAACCCCGCATTGCCACGCAAATTGAAGCTAGAATTTGCATTGTCATCGAAAGTCACATCGTGAGCACAAGCTGAAAGGCCTATGGCCCTAGCTAAGCGAGTAATTCTGGCTGCCCCTGCGTACAGCTCAATCACTTCGAACTGTTGGTCAGTAGGCCATATCTCCAGGAACGAGGTCGCTAAAACCAAGAGAACAAATGCCTTAGTTATCGATAATAGCCACCTACCTGTGCCCAGAAAGGTGATTCTTCCAAACTGTTTCTGCACACCTGACAGGACGAATCTTGCAGATAGGGGTCTCTTGGAGCACCACACTTCATGAGGCGCCGTATGGTGTTGTTGATTTGGTTCCGATTCATGGCGCCAAACCGTTGCGAGTGCCAAAGCCAAAAATCACTGCATAGAAGCGCATATATCAAAAACTGCTTTTAAATCTGTTGTCTTTTGCAGTCTCCCCCAAAAGATCTTGCCAGGCTGAGATAAAACCGGAACCCCCGGGAACAGGCTGGCCTACGTCACCATCAACTGCTGGCTGCAGGCGGGCGTAGACAGAGAGGACTGGCATTGATGTACCTGCGTGTGGCATTGCAGGCAGCGTCTGAAGGTAGGACATGTTCTACGTAAGGCATCCGAAATTCACTGATGCTGGTGATCTTTTTTTCCAGTCATGGGTTCGCAACCTGCACACCCAGTCCCTCAAACTACGGCCAGCATGGCTTTGCCTCCAAGCACCCTACCCGGACACTTGCTTCCAAGAGCCCAGGGTCAACTGGAATGCATTGTCAAAAGCTAACGGCAGCTAAAAAATCATTTGCTGTATCTTTGTTGGCTTTGTTTATTTTCACTGCATTCCTCCCCAGAAAGATTCAGCTGGGGGCCACAAGCCACTCTCCTTTGAGGTAAAGTCTAAGTGCAGGAAATCCTAAGCTCGCTTTTCAAATGAAGCACCCTTGCCACTGGGCGCTAGATCTCGTTTCCTTGGCCGCAGCTGTGGAGAAGGTGTGTTGGGACAAGTGGTGTTGACATGCCGAATTTCCAAAAGCTGTTGAAAGCGTTGTGAATCATAGTGGCCAATATAACCAAGTAAATAGGCTGAAGGTCACTCGTCCTTAGACTGCAAGAATTGAACGGCCCACAGTTGGCAGCAATCATGGTACTCTTCCATCGGGATGTTCTCATTTGCAACCATCTTGTTGCAATATTTCAAAAAGGGCTCCTACAAAAACGGAGAGGATACAGAATGTGGAAGGTATGAGAAAGATCAGGACAATTCAGGACATGTGGTACTGTCAACATCAATGAAGCAAACCCCGTGTCCTCAGCCGTGCTTGCATGCTTCAAGTGCGGGGCAATGTGCTTCTCAAAGTTTTCACGAACAGCCAAATGCCAGGTCTTGCCGGGGTCAGTTTTGGGGCAGTACCGTCGGGCAAAAGAAGCCTTCACCTTTGGTGGCCCTGGCTCTACCTCAGTCTTCTTCGCAGCTTTCTTGGTTGCTTTCTTGCTAGGTGCCTCAGCGTCACCTGTACCTTCAACCTTGCCTTCAGCCTCATCCTTTCGCTTCTTGTCAGCCTTTGCCTTTGCCTTCGCCTTGGGTGTACCTTTCTGGGCCTTTTTCTTGGCCTGTGCTTTTGCCTTGGGTTTGCTCTTTTCTCTAGCCTTAGCCTTAGCCTTAGCCTTAGCAGTGCTTTTTGCTTTGGCCTTCCCCTTGGCCTTTGGCTTTGGGAAGGCGCCAAGCTGGTCCAGCCGGGTAATGTCAACCTGAGAGTCAAGAAAAATGAAAGACAGAAAGCCAGAAAGTAGAGACAGTTAAGTTGGACAACTCACAGCCCTCGCTGCTGGCCTCTTCATTCAGCAAGTCCCCGCTTGACGGTGCAGGTTCACCTCCGTCAGTTGAAGGGACCTTTGCAGGAGGCGGCATTTGCTGGGCAGGGGCATCTTCGCTCGTGGGCACTTCAGATTCCTCTGGGTCTGGCTGGGTAGCCGGAATGGGAGACATGTTGCCAATGTCATTGTCGACCTTAGGCTCTTGGTTTTCAACCGTTGTTCCACTGCTAGCCATGCGAATCTCAGAAGCCATGGGCGACAAATCCATTGCCAGGGTGTCACCCTCAGCTGGATAGGCTCCACCTGATTTTTTTGGGGGGCCACGAACTCGACACACCCGTGGGATTCAGGCTAACTGATGACATGAAATCGGAAAAATGACATCAATAAGACCAAGCCTGCTGGCTCCAGATCCCAGCTTGACTTGGCCTTGTTAGTCAAATAGGCAATCCTCTTCATGGCCATTTGTCGCCTTAGGATGGGATATCCTCAGGCCCAAAAGAATGATGAACATGCTACATAGAATTTTCATCAGACACGTAACGGCGGGTATGTTTCAAAATAGGGGGTGCCCGAAACTGTTTATTTATAATTAGAAAATTCAGTTTCGGGCACCCCTATAGTATTTTGAAACATTCCCAAATTTAGATTAGTAACTCCAAACGTTCCAGCTCATCATCAATCTCGTCCATTTGGCCATCTTTCACCGACTCTTTCGAACTTGTCCATGGGTTTCCCGGAGAGGGAGTTGGTTTCACCATGGATTCCCCACCCATTTTCCAAGCCATAAACTCGTCCAAGGGATCAGCATCACCCTCACTCTTGGGGGTGTTTTTCTTGGGGGTAACTGGATGCTCTGGCTTTCCAGCCTCCCCACCAACATCCTGTGATTCACCCGGTCCATCATCTGATTCTCCTGCAGGTTCCTCATGCGGTTCAGGGTTCCCACCTTCATGTTCTGATTCTTCATGTATCTGCTCCTTATCAATTTCTCCATAGGGGTCAGCCTCATCATCTGGCTCCCATGCCCTAGTCCTTGAGCCTGCCTTCACCGAGAAGAACTGAGCCAGGATGTTGAAGAGCTCACGCATCGTTGGATCCTTGGATTGGTGCCGTTGGGCCTTGGGGTTGCCAGACTTGTTACTATCCCTTCATTCATTTGAGTTTGAAAATCCACTATGATGTGGTCATTCAAGCAGACCATAAGGTCCCTTATCGTCTGCTTTGTTTTTGATATGTCAAGATGCATGGATGGTGGTATCATGAAATAAATAAGACTAGAATCTCTGCGTTGGGACCCATCATGTCTACGAATCAGAGCCGACACCATTGCTTTCAAAGCATGAGCTTCACAATGTACCAGGGAAGTGTTCTCCGTCAACTTCAGGTTTCGGCGGAACGCACGGATCTGCCAGGATCCATGTTTCAGCAGGAGAAAAACAGAAGTTGAAAACGTTTGTCAGTCATTCTGAAATGTGTTGAAATAAATTGACATCTTTTTACTGACCCACAAGCCCAGCAAAAACTGAAGCAACCCCACGAACTCCTGGGGCTTGATCAGCTTGATGGGGACAGTCTTCCTGTCCTCAGCGATGGGGCACCAAATGTGGAGTAGGTGCGTCAAGACTTCGCAGTTCAGCTTGATCGCAGCAAAGTTGATCACCCCAATTTTTTTGGGATCTGGCCATTGCAACACACCGCCACCTGCTTTCAGTGCTGGACGCCTAACCCTGGGATCACTTTCCCAATCATCAGCTAGTCCATTCAAATCTGTGTTCTCGTAAACTGGCACTGGGTCAAGTGGGACATCCGGGGCATCCTCACCGGGAACCAAAGCCATTTGTGGTTCCCCTGGATGAAGTCTTCAACTCACACAGCTGGGGCCAAAATGCTACAGTTTTGTTTTCATGTGTTCAATCACCGATGGTGACGCAAATTGTCAAGTAGACCAAATCAAGATCAGCAATGAAGAGCCATTCCAACTTGTCCAGCAAAAAATGAAACCCACACACCCCACCAGGGCACCCGTTCAGAAGGTCGCCGATACCTGGCACCAGCACATTGTAGAAACAGGTGCGCAAAAGGATTTCAAAAATAATGCTGGAAGAAATGGGGGTGAGGTTGATTGTTTAAAGCAAGAGGGTTGAAAAAGGAGCATCCCACATGAACATGTGCCAGGCTGGCCTTCTATAGGATTTTCCTCCAAAGGTGTAGCGCCGCGAAGTAACCTGGTCCAGTGTCAACCGAGTGCAGCCCCACCTCACCAATCCTCCAAAGTAGAGGTCTGTTCCGTGAGGCCACTGCAATCCACGAAGTACCTGCGGGCGATCTCAAACAAAAACAGATACTACATGTGGAAACAACTGGTTGGCGCACGTAAATGTCAATGAGCAATCCATGGCATACCTGCGTAGGGCCACAAAATCTTTTTTGAACCGGAATCCCCAGAAGTGTTTCCGGGGATGTTCCAAAACCAATGCAGGGAGACCACAAATGAACCCTTAGGTGTCCCACGCAAAGCATTTTACCATGCCCCTTTTCTGGTGATTTGTCAAAATTCAGCCGCTACATGACTAGCTGCATGTTGCCCTGAGGCTGACTTCATCCTTGCTGTGAATCTTCTGGCTGATCCGTGGGTGCAGTGGAAGTTTGCTCACGGAGCTTGTCGCCTAAGAGAATGGGATAACGATGAAAACGGACTGGGTAGAATACCATCAGTTTTGTTTTTGGACAACAAGTAAAGAATCACGTCATTCCGTCAAGTGGCATTCCTCCTTCCACTCCCAGAAAAATTGTAAAGGGCAAAGATTGATCCTTGGGCCTCATAGTTATCCACTATGGTCTGTGCTTGCGCTGCACTCAAAGCGTCCTTAGTCCGTCGCCGGGGACAGCATTGGTGAAAAACACTGATCCTGACTTGGTTGTATGCAGAAAAGGCTCATTGGTAGGGGCAAGTGGCCACAGCACACAGCGGGCTTGCTCAAAAAAACCATGGGGCATATCCGCAAGACCTGCCCAACAGGCAATGAACCCCTCTTCTATTGCTTTACCGGTACTGACTGCTTTGGTCAATAATTTAAAAGTCATTGGGACTAAACGGCCTGCTTTCTCCAAAATAGCTTTCGCAGTAGGAGGATCCATTGCCATAGTTGGATCAGGCTTCGGTTCTTGATCCCCAAAAAACTGCAATCAAGCTGAAGAGTGACGCTTGAATATCTGAATCTCAAATCTGAAGTTCTGCTGGCCACATCAAGAAGCACAAAGAGGCAAGGGGGGGAATGGCGTACCATCCAGGCTGCGGCCACATGTTGGCCGGGCAAAACTCTTAAAAATCTCACCAAAAACCTGTAAACCAAGAAACGCCGTTTTCCTCTGTGCCAGAGCACATTGGAAGAACAAAAACAGTTAAGCTGAACAATAGGTGGTTCTGGTCCCTGTCACAACACTAGCCTTGTGAAAAAAAATGCTTTAAATCCTAAGCCAGTTTCAGCTAAGACACAAAGTACTTCAAGTGGTGGCCCGTTGCAAGGCTATGCAGCGTGTATGGGTAGAGCAAGATTTGGTACACCAGCTTTGCCTGAGGTCCATGAGGTCGGTTGGGGACGAACTGCTCCAAGAGCTCGCGAATGTGACAAAGCAACTCACGAAGAAAATTAATGTTATTTAAATGGCTTCTGGCACGTTCCCAAAAAAAAGTCGTCCTAAACATGCAATTCTTCTTTAGCATATCCCAGCAACCACTTGGTACTTCTGTGGCACAGCAGATCGCAAGGGCAGCTGGCGCAAGAGCTGCTCCACCCCCATCCATGCGCGTAAAGCCTGATTTTCATGCATATTGGATAATGAAAATTGTTTTCAAGCTCATGTTTGAAAAAAAAACAAAAATCATCATTGATAGAAAATTGAAAAATGGAATCCAAATCAACCTAGTAGCCAGCGCACAAATTGTGCACAGATGTTTGGGTCCTGTGGCCCCCAGGGAAAAAGCTGGACCGGAACGGATTGAAGTGATTGAAGCCAGCAAAGGCCCAAGGTGAAGCCTGCTCGTGTGTCGTACACATTCTTAATCCGGGGCCGTGTTCCTTTGCTTCAGCAAAGAAAATTGACACTAATCAAAACCAATTCAAAAACCACCAGCACAGGATCACAATGACAACAAAAAAATGGCATCCTGCTCAAATGCTCAAACCAAGTGTCTCAAGTGTCACAAGAGCCTCCTGGACTTGCGATGGGCTCAAGTTCATGATGCCAGCCCTGGCTGCTGCCCAAGTGCTTGTGGCTGCCCACCACCAGAAACATGCGAAGCAGCGTCTGAAGGAGCCACACTTGGCGCCACAAATGGTGAGGTGACCCTGCACGTTGTTGCTCCTGAAGCTCAGCGCCATTTGCCATGGCTCCTAGTGGACCCGGGGCCGTGGACCTTGTTGGACCTGGGGCCATCAACCTTCTTGGATCTGGGACCGTGGGCCTTGGACCAAATCCCTGTCAGGTAAGCAATTGGTTACTGGTAACTCAACTGAAAGTGTGACACTTGTGGCTTTCAACTTGTGGCATCATCTCCTAGAAACGAAATACACTCGAACTTTGAACGTTCTCCTCAATGAAAAACATGATCTATGCAGACTAACACTTGTATGGCTGAGGCATCAGCCAGTCACCCAAATGCAGCCACACGGTAAAGCAATGCCACGCAGAGTTCGGCCTCATCACGGGCACCAAGAACAGAGACAAGGAAGGGGTTGAACACGGCCACGCAAAGTTGTGCCAGTGCAAAAACAGCCTTTACCAGAAATGTTGATTTGAGACCCAAGCGGTGGGAGAAACTGGGGAATAGGCGCAAGGCAGGTTACTACTTATGTGACCTTGTCTTGGACCTTGAACCTTGGACCTTGAACCTTGAAGCCTAGACCTTGCACCTGCCACGTCAACCCATGTCCTTGAGCCTGTGCAGTTTGCGAGGCCAGCCAGGAAGTTGCATATGCAGTGGATAAGAAAAAAACAGTAAAAATATTCTAATTTCCCACGTAGCTTCTAAAGATTCAGTTCTGCAAACCCAGCTTTGAGGATGCCAGACTTGACTGTAATCACTTGCTTACCTAGAGCTCCAGACATGCGCCCAAGCCATCAATTATTGACTGTTTACAAGTATATATAAACAGATTTTTAGGCTGTCGCTTTTCTGCGGGACCGTGTGGCTTTACAGTGTTTCATGCAGTTTGTTCCATACATTTGCGACCCGCCCCTACTAATTGATCTACCACTATGACCTACCAGTATTTGAACTTTTGACCGTACCACATACATAGCCTGAGAGCATTGTGCAGCATGCGTGACCTGGCTGTGCTTGGGTGAGTGAGCACCTAGGCTCTGACCTGACGATACAGGTTCAGTGCATAGGTCGTGGCCACCACATCCTTGGTTTGAAAGCGTCAGGAAAGCTGCATGGGAGTGGACTGGATGTGTATCACCTAGCGCTACAACTGGTCCTGCCACCTCTAGAACCCATCTGATCTGAGAGTGGCCACCATGGGAACCCACTGCGACACTGCGACTGTGGCACCTCAACTGGGGTCACGTAGCCTTCAGCTTTTGCAATGCGCAGCCAAGAAGCCGCAGTCTCGATGAAGAGGAGCTTGTGCTGCAGCACCCTGGAGATAACACCTGTCATTGACAAATCCATTTCAGCTCCAAACCCAAAGAGCAAAGTCCAGACGGCAAGCATCAGCCAAATCATCAAGGCTGGCACCAGTCTCATACCACTTCTCCAGAACTTGCTCCAAGTAGCGGTAGGAGGTGAAAAAGCATACCTCAAAGTCTCAAAGCAGATGATTTCTTTCCGGTAGACTTGTCCAAGAGTCTTTTTACAAGGCGCCAAGAGAGACCAAGAATTGAAAAAGTCAGCATCTTTCAGTATTCTTTCAGCGCGTTTCTGGTTTACAAACAATCCTGCCACTTCGGGCCAATATGAGGCTTGGCCTATTGCAGTCAAGTCCTCAAGTCGCATACGTCACAGCGCCACCGAAACTGACTCCTTGAGCCGGTCGCGGGGCAGGTTGCAGCGCAGCCATCTCTTCTCTGCTGAGAACTCCATCTCCGTTGGTGTCAAGTGCAGAGAACAAGTCACCTCCCCGCATGGAGGCTGAGGAGCCCTGACAGCCTTGACAGCCCTGCCCATAGGTCACACAGGCTCCAGATCCACAAGCCGCTCCGTACGTCACAGGAGGGCCCGGAGCACGAGTCACAGGGCCCATTGCCATGGGATGCGCATAGACTGGAGGAGCTGTGTAAGTCACCTGTCCCATCGCTGCAGGGGCACCAACAGCCCCAGCATAGGCCATTGGTGCGGCCATAGTAACAGGTGCTCGCATTCCTTGAGTGCTAGGGCCTGTTCGCAGAGCAGCCATCTCTTCTCTACCTTGGTGCGCATTACTTTGCTCTCGGGGTGATTTGACACGGACACCAGACAAAATTATAGGTGCTGCGGTGCTGCGCTTGTACCACTATATATCGGTCCGCGGCCCGGTACCCCCCCCCCGATGGTATGGTCCCTCAAGCCGGCTACCCCCAGCCTACCCCACAGATGGTGGTCCCCCCTCCCCGGTAGCCCACCACCCTGTAACGCAGCAAGTGTCTGCGCATGTGCGAGGGAAGATCTTGTAACGTAGCACTAAGCCCAAGCGTCTGTGCAAGTGCGCAAGTACAAGAGAAGATCTTATAATCTCAAGTGCCTGTGCAAAAACAAGAGAAGGTCTATTAATGTAGCACCAAGTGTCTGTGCAAGTGCAAGAAAAGATCTTGTAACGTAACATCAAGCCTCTATGGAAGTAGGAGAGAAAATCTTATAACTCCTGATAACGTTGCATCAACTGTCTGCGCGTGTACATTAGAAGGTCATGTAACGTAACATCAACTGTGTGTGTGCATGTACCAGAAAGGATCCTATAACGTAGCAGCAAGGGTCTGCGCAAGTACGAGGGACGTACTTCAACGTAGCATCCAACATCTGTGCAAGCACATACATACATACATACATGCATGCATGCATGCATGCATGCATACATGCATACCTACCGACCTACATACATACATACATACATACATACATACATGCATACATGCCTACCTGCCTACCTACCCACCTACCTACATACCTACATACCTACATTCCTACTTACCTAGCTACCTACATACATACATACGAACATGCCAGCATACAACAAACCTAGATAGATACATACCTACATACCTTCATACATTCATACCTTCATACCTACATGCATACATACCTGCATACATACATACATACATACATACTTACTTACTTACTTACATACATACTTACATATACCTAAATACCTACGTACCCACATACCTACAGACCTACAAACCTACATACCTACATACCTGCAGACCTACATACCTACATACCTGCAGACCTGCAGACCTACATACCTGCAGAACTGCAGACCTACATACCTACATAATACCTACATACATACCTACATACATACATACATACATACCTACCTACATACCTACATACCTGCATACCTACATACCTAAATACCTACGTACCCACATACCTGCAGACCTACAAACCTACATACCTACATACCTGCAGACCTACATACCTACATACCTGCAGACCTACATACCTACATACCTGCAGACCTGCAGACCTACATACCTACATAATACCTACATACATACCTACCTAGCTACCTACATACCTATATACATACATACTTACATACCTACCTACATACCTACATACCTGCATACCTACATACCTAAATACCTACGTACCCACATACCTACAAACCTACATACCTACATACCTGCAGACCTACATACATACATACATACCTGCAGACCTGCAGACGTACATACCTGCACAATACCTACATACCTACACACATACATACATACTTACATACCTACCTACATACCTACATACCTGCATACCTACATACCTAAATACCTACGTACCCACATACCTACAGACCTACAAAACTACATACCTACATACCTGCAGACCTACATACCTACATACCTGCAGACCTGCAGACCTACATACCTACATAATACCTACATACATACCTACCTAGCTACCTACATACCTACATACATACATACTTACAGACCTACCTACATAGTTACAAACAAACATTCATACCTACATACCTAAATACCTACGTACCCACATACCTACAGACCTACAAACCTACAAACCTGCAGACCTACATACCTACATACCTGCAGGCCTGCAGGCCTACATACCTGCAGACCTACCTAGTTACCTACATACATACCTACATACATACCTACATACATACATACATACATACTTACATACCTACCTACATACCTACATACCTGCATACCTACATACCTAAATACCTACGTACCCACATACCTACAGACCTACAAGCCTACATACCTACATACCTGCAGACCTACATACCTGCAGACCTGAAGACCTACATACCTGCAGAATACCTACATACATACCTACCTAGCTACCTGCATACCTACATACAGCTTTCATACCTACCTACCTACATACTTACAAACAAACATTCATACCTACATACCTAAATACCTACGTACCCACATACCTACAGACCTACAAACCTACATACCTGCAGACCAACATACCTACTACCTGCAGACCTACATACCTGCATAATACCTACATGCATACCTACCTAGCTACCTACACACCTACCTACATACATACATACTTACATACCTACCTACATACCTACATACCTGCATACCTACATACCTAAATACCTACGTACCCACATACCTACAGACCTACAAACCTACATACCTACATACCTGCAGACCTACATACCTGCAGACCTACATACCTGCATAATGCCTACATACATACATACCTGCATACATACATACATACATACATACATACCTGCATACATACATACATACTTACATACCTACCTACATACCTACATACCTGCATACCTACATACCTAAATACCTACGTACCCACATACCTACAGACCTACAAACCTACATACCTACATACCTGCATACCTACAAACCTACATACCTGCATACCTACCTACATACCTACATACCTGCATACCTGCATACCTAAATACCTACGTACTCACATACCTACAGACCTAGAAACCTACAAAATACCTACATACATACCTACCTAGCTACCTGCATACCTACATACAACTTTCATACCTACCTATCTACAAACTTACAAACAAACATTCATACCTACATACCTAAATACCTACGTACCCACATACCTACAGACCTACAAACCTACATACCTACATACCTGCAGACCTACATACCTACATACCTGCAGACCTACATACCTGCATAATACCTACATACATACCTACCTAGCTACCTACACACCTACATACATACATACATACTTACATACCTACCTACATACCTACATACCTACATACCTGCATACCTACATACCTAAATACCTACGTACCCACATACCTACAGACCTACAAACCTACATACTTACATACCTGCAGACCTACAAACCTACATACCTGCAGACCTACATACCTGCATAATACCTACATACATACCTACCTAGCTACCTACCTACATACCTACATACATACATACTTACATACCTACCTACATACCTACATACGTGCATACCTACATACCTAAATACCTACGTGCCCACATACCTGCAGACCTACAAACCTACATACCTACATACCTGCAGACCTACATACCTGCAAAATACCTACATACATACCTACCTAGCTACCTACATACCTACATACATACATACATACTTACATACCTACCTACATACCTACATACCTGCATACCTGCATACCTAAATACCTACGTACCCACATACCTACAGACCTACAAACCTACATACCTGCAGACCTACATACCTACATACCTACATAATACCTACCTAGCTACCTAGCTACCTACCTACCTACATACATACATACAGACATACATTTACATACATAGGGGGAGAACGGGGAGACACGCCGGGGGAGACACGCCGGGGGCTCATGACAACGGGGTATTTTGAATCTATTGTGAATGTGTTTTAGAAATGTTTTAGATATGTTTTAGACTTTTAGATATGATTTGATAGATTGATGTTCTCAAAAAGATATGTATATATATAAAAACATATATATATATATATCATATACATACATGTGTGTGTTGTGTGTTACGTTGATGTTTCGTAGCAATCATATTCCGGATTCCGGAAGCAGAAGTTCCAAGTGTTAGGTTCCCCAAGGAATACGACCTCATAAATCTTGCAGCGAAGCATCCCAAGTTGTGAACATATTTCACTAAATACCCTCTTTATTTGTTTTCCATACATACATCCATACATACATACATGCATGCATGCAAGCATACATGCACATTTAGTGAGAGTTTGTTTTTTCAAAGATATGCAGATGTATATATATACAATATATATATGTATAATTTTAAAAAAACAAATGCATACATGTGAGCGTTGCATGTTATTATGAAGCTTGTTTGAATTCCCCAAGGAATACGACTACATAAATGTTGTAGCGAAGCATCCCAAATTGTGTACATATTTCATTCAAAACTCTGTTGTTCAATCCACATATCCATGCATACATCCATACATGCATCCACACATACATGCATGCATGCATATACATAAGGAAGTTTCGGCATGGCTGCGGAATGCGGCGGGTGCCATCAAAAACGACAGAACTTGGAGAAACCTCAGAGACATGTTTAAAATAGCAAGTCCCAAGATAATTTCACCACAATTTCTTCGATGATTATTAAATGTATATGTAAATATATAGTGGCACCGACTTACACTTAGAACCTTTTTTGGAAAAATCGGGTAGGTTGTAAGTGTAAAAAACATGATAAAATTGGGAAAGGTTCTAAGTGTTAACGAAAAAAAGTGATTTGGTTCTAAGTGTTGATTGGTTATATAGGGGTTCTAAGTGTACACTTAGAACCTGGCCTATATTTTTTGCCTTGTGTTTTTTAGACTTTTCCTAAGAAGGTTCTAAGTGTAAGTCGGTCGCTATAATCCAGTCCAGGAACAGCAACATCATGCCATTCATCATGATCACGCCTAATCTTAGATTGATTGACACGCATAACTGACCTATCAACATGAACATTGACCATAGCACCTTCTTGTGAGATAACAGTACCTCTGACCCATCTTTCTTTCTTCCATGCCTTTGAAGCAATAGAGTTAGCATTGACAGGGGACGTCCACACAAAGACCTTGTCACCTGGTTAATAAGGTCCACCTGATGGCTTAATTCTTTCAGCCATGTCATGCCTGAGATCGGCTGCTTGTCTTGCTTCCTGATGTGCCTTCAATGCTAACCGTTGCAACTCTTGTTGTGTTCTGTCTTCAGGCAGGGGGTCAACACTAAGTTGAGCAGGATCAGAAGTTTCAATATCCAGAAGATCAGGTGGTCGTCTACCAGTGGCAATTTCCAAAGGTGAATAACCACTAACAGTGAGTTGAGTGTTTCTGGCCCAAACAGTACGTTTCACAGCTTCTCTAATTGTCACTCCTTTGAACCTATCATCTTCCAGGTTCCTTGGCATGAAGTGCCATTGTCGTTTGAAAAGTGTGACAGCTGATTCAGCTCTGTTTGGCCATGGGGTTCTTGAACCACAGGGGCATTCCTTGATACCATGAGTTCGGTAATAAGTCAGAAAGTCTTCTTGGAAAAAGGCTTCATCGCCAACAACGGCTTTAGGCATACAGTTGTTTTCATCACTCCACAACCTTAGGGCTTGAATAGTCTCTTTGTTGTTCAGTGAGGATTGTGCCGCAGCCCAAAGTAAGTTTGATGCACCATCAAGAACAAGCAACGCCACGTACTTGCCCTGCCTCAACTGGATTTCAGCATGGTCAACAAAGATAACATCTCCAAAGTTGGTGGCTCTAATGCCTGAAACCCTGGCTCTTGGCGGTGGTGCAAGGGAAGTACTACACACACGACACTTGTTGTACATGTCTTCATACTTTTCATAAACAGAGTCAGGAAGTCCCAACATGGAAGTCATTCGTCTGAATTGAGTAGGAGACATATGATAGTGTTTGACATGAAGTTTGTAAAGTTCCACACTATCCTCCAGTTTCCTCAGCATCTTTCTGTATGCCGGTGTCATGGCTTGCACTTCACTACCAGGCAGTACAACAGAGGTTCATCTAAGTCATCTTTTTCTAATCCTAACTCCCTAGCTATCTTGTCAAGTTCATCTTCCTCATCAAGCTTGGGATAGGAAACAACAACCTTCTTTCTGGATGAACCTCCTTGAGAGTCATCAACAACCTTTGGTTTCTGCTTACCTACGTGTCTCTTCGCTGCTGGAGGACCTACCTCAATCTTTTTCAAGCTTGGTCCTCCCCAAATCGATTTGCCTGCCTCCTTCCGTAAGGAGCTTGGCTTTTTCTGTACACCTGATGGCGCTGAAGAGGCTGACTCAGGGTGAAACAGATCATCCATGTTTCCACGGAAAGGCTTGGCTCGATCAAGGAGATGATCAGGGATCACGTAGTCGTCCTTGATCTTGTAGATGGTTTTGCCCTTCCAGCCCTTTCACGCTGTTCAGAAAACCTCTTCTTCTCTTCGCGCCAGTTGTCCTTGTGAAGACCCTTCTTCTTGCTCTTCTGGTGCTCCATGTGAGTCTCTCTCTCATCAAGAAGTTGATCTTTTGGAATTGGAGTTTCGTCTGATCGATTCATCTCATGTAAGTTCATTCTCTTGTCCTTGTGATGTCTGATGAGTTCACGACGTAGTCCATCGACTTGCCAGTAGTCACCAGTCACCAAAGCTTCTTCTTCTCCTTGAACATATTGTTTCACAGCAATCTGGCTGTACTCAAAGTGATCGTGTTGTGAGAAGAAACTCTTGACTTGTGGAGTCTTGAAATGAACTTGGCTCATGTACCACGCAATGTCTTGTAAATCTAGAATGAGATGAGTACTAATGGCTGTCTTCAAGACCATTTTTCTCATGCCAATACGTGCAAAGGACACATAAGCCTTCTCTGGAGTTAGTTCAAATTGGAATCCAAGGTTTCTCATCTGTAGAAGTGACATCAACAATGGGACATCACCTTCTTCGACAGTGTCGAATTCTGTGAACTGAGTGTTCCTTCCATCCATTGTCATACATGAATACCACAAGCTTCTCAGTACACTTGGATTGTTGTAAACTTGCAAAGAAGAATCTTGAACTTGTTGGCTGAATTTCATACCAGAGACCACTGTTGGGATGTGAATCAAAATATCTGCAAAAATGCTTCAACTGCTCATCGGGAGCCCATAGCTCTTGTGCATCCAAGATCCAGGATACATACCGTTGGTGGTGCGGAATTCTCTGTGTGAAAAGCTAAACCATTCTCTCATGCCAGATCAGGTTGCCTGATATGAAATGAAAAAGCACGCTGCTCATCTGATTCCTCTGTGAGATGGTATCTCTGCCTCTACAGAGTGTCCATATGAAAACAATGTCGTGCCTTTTGCCAATGGCTTCCATGAAGCCTCACCTTCTTGTAAACCAACTTGTCTGGGCACAGGAGCTGGACGTCGTTGTACACCTTGTCGAAGTGCATCAAGATCTCCAACTACCACAGGGAACCTTTTGGCTTCTCTCCTGTTGAACTGTGCTGTTGCATCACGTTGGTTTTGTCCTCCTCGACGAGTGCGTCGATGTTCTTCGTGTTCTGCATAAGTGGCTGCTAAGGCATCCACACGTGCTGGTTCAGTCTCTGCAAATGCAAAGAAACCATGACCAGAGCTTGATGCTGCAGAAGAATAATGAGCTTGTAGCTGTTGTTGATTCTGTATGGCAGGAGTTGATGTGGTCTGAGGTTGAACATAGTTTGACTATGTTTGACTTACCTTTGCAATCTCCTGGTTTTCCTCCCTTGCCATCATCATCCTTGCCTTTCTTGCCTTTCTTTCCTTTTCCTTTTCCTTTCTTCTGGAAGTATCCATACTCATCGAGGTAGTACAGATCATCATAGGCCCAATAGCCTTCATTCGAGTTTTGATCATCGGCCCAAAAGCCTTCATGTGAATCATTCCATTCATCTTCATTCCATTCCTCATCATATCCTTCTTCACTCACCATGTGAGAGCGGCCTTTCCTTCTTCCTTTTCCTCGGCCTTTTTCTTTCCTTGATCTGAAGAACCTTCGTCCTCCTCTGCCTTTTCCTTTTCCTTTTCTCTTTCCTTTACCTTTGCCTCGTCTGGTCTGTCTGCCTTGGAACCTTCTCTGATACCATGTGTAGTCAGCGTCATCATAAACCCAGAAAACATCTTCTAAAGCATCCAGGAATCCTTCTGCGCCGTCTTCATCATCTTCGGCCAATAGCCGTCGGTTCCCTCTAATTCACCTTCATCCAAAACGAGGAAAGATCTTCTCTGTGCCATGCCAGAGGGTTGCATCATTGGATTGTCTACGGCCGTCTTTGTAGTGCAAAACATTTCCAGGAATAGATCTCTGAGTTCTTGCACATTGTACTGATCGAGTGTTAGGCCACGATGTGTCATGGTACTTGTAAATGTGTTTCTCTGATCTTGAGTCAGGTCTGCTAGACTTACAAAAATCAATGCTAGCAAATTTTCTCCCAAAGGGAATGCCTGTCTCTGCTGTTGTCGTCTGTTCTCATTGAGTTGTCTGAATGCAAGTAGTGCCATTTCATCTGTCCAGGGGATCACGGCATGAGGATCTGCGCCTGGTGTAGCTGCTGCTACTTGTGCTCGTTCATGTTGATCTCGTTCATGATCTGGTCGTAAAGTTTGAACAAACAGGATTGCTTCTGGGCTGGTAATCAACAGGTCTGGTATCAAATCCATCCAAGACTCAATAAGTCTGTTTCCAGTCAGTTGAAATCTAGTCATCAATTTCTGAAGATCCATAGTTCCTGTGTTGTACTTCATGAATTACATGAAACGGTATAAGAACACGTTTTGGACACCTTTGATGAAATGAGGTCGTAGAAATCTCTTGAAGTAGTTGACTCCATCATGGGGATCCCTGAGCATTTCTCTGTCAAATAACCTCTTGTAATTCTGAGCCTCTCCTTTCAGACGATTTCTCAAAGCTGGTCCACGTTTTTCATCCCTACCCCCTTAGGGGGCGGAGGGGGCAAAAAATTGTAACTTACATGTATGCGGGTTGCTGTACGCGAAAAAATGTAAGTTACATTTTTTGGGGTTGCCAAAAAAAATCATATTACATTTATTTTTCTTGGAACACCCATCAATTTAACTTACATTTTTAAGGCTAACTAGTCCAACTTACATTTTCTGCGCTGTCCAACCCCAAAAATTGTAATATTGAATTTCTGGAACCCTCAATTATCTTGGGAAAACCAGAGGATAGATAGGGGGTAAGGGGGGGGCAAAAAATGTAACATGGTACGCAGCGCGTGCTAACTTACATTTATTTTGAATGGGGGGGGTCTAAAAATGTATGTTGTCCACGCGGCGCGTGTCCAACTTACATTTCTGGCCCCCCACCCCCCCCGAAAAACCATGTTTTGGACCCACGCGGGGGGGTACAACTTACATTTTTTTACCCCCCCCCTCCCCCTACAAAAATGTAAGTTACATTTTTTGGCCCCCCCCGCGTCAACAGGGGGTTAAGGGGGTGGGGATCGTTTTTCAGGTTCTAGTTCCGTGATGTCACACCAGTCATCAATGGCATCTTCACATGCAAAGAAGCTGGTTCTCCAATCATATGCAGGGGCTACCTTCGTGGTCATTTGCTGCGTCATATGGATTGAGGGCTGCTGAGGTGCTCTTCTCATTGCATAGGAGTCATATTGATTCCATCCATCTGCATCGACAATGTCGAAGTCATCATCATCATAGCCATGGCGAGACATTTCGGGCTCTAGCTGGGGCTTTCCTTCAATGAAGGATCACAGCTCCGCTACCACTTGAAGAGGGGCACTAGCGTCTAGTATAGATCAGCTAGAGCGTCTTCCCAAGACAGCGTAACACCCTTTTACTCACGGCGTATTGCCAGTCGGTGTGGTGTCCACAGGGTTACTCTGTATATACCTCTTGAACCTTGAAGGGCGCATAAAAATGTGTTCAGTACTCATGCATGTACCTATGTAGGTATTAGGTCGAAACAAAAACAGAGACCCCCCCCATTCCCACAGCGGGGGACCATGACCATGACGGGGTGGGTGTGGGGGTTGCAGGCCTGTACCATATATATATATGTACATACTGGGAGACAAGCCTCAAAAAAACCAAAGAATAGATTGCGAAGGCGGGCTGCTTAGCACACCATCACCGTTTGTATCAAGCGCAGTGAACAGGTCACCAGCACGCTGTGCTGAGCCATACCCAGCACAGCCTGATGCTAGTCCTGATGCTTGCGCTGACGCCGTGCCTTGTCGCACCTCAGTACTTTTCACATGAGATACTTGGCCGCGCTCATACATCTCAGCAGAGGCAGTGGAAGGGGAGATCGGCCCAACTCCAACAACTTTGGCTTCGTAGGCACCTCCAAACCTCGATGTTCAAAAAAAACTCCAGGGCCGCAGAAATCTTGAGATGACGTTATTTAAGGTGACAATTACAAAGAAAAGCCCAATCAAGATGCATAGGAGTATATCAGTATATCATGATGTAACATCTGCTAGTGCAAAACCCTGGTGTTAAGTTGTCATTGTACTTAGTATCTTACAGTATGCTAAAGTTTGCACGCAATGTCATGGAATTACATTCGCTGTAGACGCCCGCAGGGAGGTTGCACAATGGGTGCAACAAAGCATAACAAACCAAGCCGAGAGGCTGACTCTCCTGCTCCCCGACCACGACTTCATCGCGGTTCACAAATCGTTCATACTCTTCAGCAGCTTGGACAACACGCTGTTCCGTCTGCTGTGAGACCTGAGAAATGACTTCATGGCGCAGCACCTGTGGAACTTCCACCGCAACTTCCTGCATAAGCTTCACAGGTACATTTTGAATCTTTTCAACGCAGCGCATCTCTACTTTGGGGATGTGCTTTGGAATTTCTTGGACCTGTTGCTTTGGCACCTGTTTGATAAACTCTGCTACTTGCACTTGTGGTACTTCCACCAGGCGCTCTTCCTTGATAACTTGTGGCACTTCCACAATCTGTTCCAGAGCCTGATATGTAATGTTGGGCACCTCCCGGTCCACATACTGTACTTCGGTACTGGGCACCTGCTTCACCTGCTCGGCCACCAGCACTTGAGGAACCTCCACTGGTTGCTCTACCTTCAAGGTCACAGGCACTTCGACCACTCGTTCTTGTGCCCGAAGCTGTATCTTCGGAATCTTCCTCAGCTTGGAGGTGCTTGGATCATCTCTTTTGAGTATCACAAGTGAATCACACAAGTCAATGCAATTCACAAGTTTCAGTGGAAGTGAAGTTGCAGTCTCATCACGAAACAAGAAAGGCTGGCACAAAGCAGGAATCAAGGTACAACATGGTACGACTGACCAAGCAATGCCATCTGTCTCCCTCTTTCTCCATCTGTATCCTATTTTCAGATTTTTTTTCGGTATTCTTCAGTCAAGTGTCTTCTCAACTCTTTGCATCTGAGGCTTTGGAACCTCAGTGATAGCCTCTACATGGTGCATTTGAGGCACTTCCACGACGCGCTCTTCGTACACCACTTGGGGCACCTCATGACACACGGCAACGAAAACACACTACAAAACCATACAAGCATCAAACTCCAAAACGATGTGAATATTCGGAATATACATGAAAATACTTCAGGCCAGGGGGAGGTACGAAAGCTAGCAGGGCTGGGGTAGGGCGGTAATTAATCGTAAAGGGGGATTAGCAAGGTGAAGTCGGAACGCGGCAACGGTCTCACGCGGATTTTTGGAGTTGCTGCAACTCACAAATATGCGAATCTTTTGATGTTGATGAGGTTGCTGACCAGAACGATGAAGGAAACTGATGATGACGAAAGTGATGATAACAGGAATGAGTTGATGACGACGATGATGAGGACGAAGAGGATGATGAGGATGATGAGGATGATGAGGATGCTGAGGATGCTGAGGATGAGAATGACGATCAAAATGAGGATGTTGATTATGATGAGCAGGGCTGTTGCAGGGTTGCAAAATCTATGTCCAGCAAGCGAAAACCCCCAATACAGTAATCGTCTCTCGCCAAGTGTTGTAAGCAAAAGATACTCAATATCAAGAAAAACGCCCCCCAAATGGAAGCCCGAATCTGCATAAAATGATGTTGATAAGGATGATGATGAGGAATGATGGGGATTATGATGATGATGATGAGGAGGAAGATGATGAGGAGGATGAGGATGAGGATGAAGATGGAGATGGGGATGGACGATGAGGATGAGGGTGAGGATGATGATGAGGATGTTGTTGATGATGATAAGGATGATGATGACGATGATGATGCTGATGATGACGAGGAGGAGGAGGAGGAAGATAATTATGATCATTTGGAAGCCGGCAAGTTCCCGCTGATGATTTTATAGAGTTGTTGGTTGGTTTACTGAACATGACGTCCTGAAGATGAAATACTGAAGCGGACGAGCCTATACGTGCAGGAAACCAATGGCCCAGCGGGACCAGGGGATGAGGATGCTGATCAACGATGAGGAGGACGATGAGGAGGACGACGAGGATGAGGAGGAGGAGGAGGATGATGATGATAGTGATGATGATGATGATGATGATGATGTGGACACCACGGGTGATGGGGATGATGATGATGATGATGAGGGGACCAGGGGGGATCGAACCTGGGCCTGCCAGGGTGGTCTAACTGGAAAGTTTCAGGGTTTCCAATGCTCCTGGTGCCTGCCTATTCCTTGCTAAAGCAAGAGCAAATTCAGCTAGCACAGCCAGCTTTCGTGACAATCCAACCGGTTTCAGCCTGCACATGACATTCAATGTTGATATGTGTTGATGTGCAGTACTGTACGTTCACAAAAGAGCAACATCCATGATGGGACCAAAAGGTCTGTAGACTTTCGGCGCCCTGACCTCCACGATCTTCTCCACATACTCGATGATGTGCTTTGGTACCTTTTTGTCTATATACTGAACTTCTGGCTTTGGGACCTGCTTGATGACTTCTCGGTACTCAATCTTTGGAACTTCTATGATCCGCTCCTCATAGATCACCTGAGGCACCTCTACAATTTTCTCCACATAGTGTATCTCCTTCTTCTTGACCTCTTTGTCCACTGTCTGCACTTCAATACTTGGGACCTGCTTCACAATCTCGTGAGTCTCAGTGACAGGAACCTCCACAATAGACTCCTGAATGGTATATTGAGGCACCTCCACAACCTTTTCAACGCATTGCATAACCGGCTTTTCCACCTGCTTCTGTGCTTTCTGCAATTCGGGTCGTGGCACCTCGCGGATACACTCCATGTACTCCACTTTAGGAACCTCAACAATCTGTTCTTCAATGGTTGAAATGGGAACCTCCACTAACTTCTCAACCACCTCGTAGATGGGTTTCACTACTTGCTTCTCGACTTGTTTCATCACGGGCTTCGGCACTTGCTTCACCACATCTACCACCCGAACCTTGGGCACTTCTACCAGCTTCTCCACGTACAGGTTTTGAGTCACCTGGCACATGGCTACACAGCTTGAAAAAGGTTGAAACACCTAAGCCATCATAAACCTTGAAAGCCACCAGTGCAACATGGTGCAACATTGTCAAGGATTGTACACAGGCAACATAAACAAATAGTGATTCTATAACAGCCCGAAAATGATTGCAAGACAAGAAACAATTGCACGAGGATTCATCAAAGGAAGTTGGGAAGCAATACTTCCGAGTTACGGACAAATAGAATTGTGAGAGTTGACATTGATGAAGGGTGGTGCCCGACTGAGACTTGACCTTGATGAAGGGTGGTGTGAGACTTTACATCACATAACAATACATCACAGAGAATTGACCTTGATGAAGGGTGGTGTGAGACTTTACATTACATAACAATACATCACAAAAGAATTAACCTTGATGAAGGGTGGTGTGAGACTTTACATTACATAACAATACATCACAAAAGAATTGACCTTGATGAAGGGTGGTGTGCGACTTTACATTACATAACAATACATCACAAAAGACTTGACCTTGATAAAGGGTGGTGTGCGACTTTACATCACATAACAATACATCACAAAAGACTTGACCTTGATGAAGGGTGGTGTGAGACTTTACATTACATAACAATACATCACAAAACTTGACCTTGATGAAGGGTGGTGTGAGACTTTGTATTACATAACAATACATCACAGAGAATTGACCTTGATGAAGGGTGGTGTGAGACTTTACATTACATAACAATACATCACAAAAGAATTGACCTTGATGAAGGGTGGTGTGCGACTTTACATTACATAACAATACATCACAAAAGAATTGACCTTGATGAAGGGTGGTGTGCGACTTTACATTACATAACAATACATCACAAAAGAATTGACCTTGATGAAGGGTGGTGTGAGACTTTACACTACATAACAATACATCACAAAAGAATTGACCTTGATGAAGGGTGGTGTGAGACTTTACATCACATAACAATACATCACAAAAGAATTGACCTTGATGAAGGATGGTGTGCGACTGTACATTACATAACAGACCTTGATGAAGGGTGGTGTGCGACTGTAAATTACATAGCATTACATCACAAAAGAATTGACCTTGATGAAGGGTGGTGTGCGACTGTACATCACATAACAAATCATAACAATACACCACAAAAGAATTGACCTTGATGAAGGGTGGTGTGCGACTGTACATCACATAACAATACATAACAAAAGAATAAGAAGCTATGACACAGGGTGGGGACGAAGTGAAGTTTATACGAAGGGAAGTGGCGACGAAGGGAAGTGGTGACGAAGGGAAGTGGTGACGAAGCGAAGTGGTGAGGAAGGGAAGTGGCGACGAAGGGAAGTGGTGACGAAGGGAAGTGGTGAGGAACGGAAGTGCTGAGGAAGGGAAGTGGCGAGGAAGGGAAGTGGTGACGAAGGGAAGTGGTGACGAAGAGAAGTGGTGAGGAAGGGACCCTGAGCATCGCTAATTGATCCTGTTCAATTAGAAAATGATCTAATTGAAACAAGGTTTTTTTCAATTAGTTTGAATTGAAAATATTGAAAAACACATCAATAAAAAAAGATGTTTTTACTACCATTGAAAATCAATAGGAAAAATCAAAAAATCAATTTAGAAAACAATAAGAAGTTCAATTAAGAAATCAATTAGAAATTCAATTACTAACCCATGTTGAAATCAATCAAACCCATTCCCTAAAGCACACATTAAGTTGATTCCTTTTTTCCTATTATTCATTGATTCATTTTTTCCTATTATCAAGCAAAACAGCAAACACTGACCCACCCAAGCACTACCACCATGTTTTTTTCACACCCATCCCTGCAGTTGAGGGAATGAAAAACCAAGTCAGCTGAAAAGCTCAATCCTTTTACCAAGGAGAGCCAGCTACTTGTGAAAAAAAAAGCCAGCCACCTTTGAGCAAGGTGTGGCATTTCTGTCAATAGCAAACCCTTTGAGCAAGGGTTAGCTGTTTTTTCCCCTACATTATTTTTTTTGCCAGGACTTTTGTTACCCTTTGAGCAAGGGTTGGTTGTGCTCTTTTATCAAGAGCTATTTTTCCTTTGCCTGCCACTCCTTCTTTTGTTTTTTTTCATCCATGATGATGTGGTTGATGGCATCTGACAGATACCTGTGGCAGAAGGCTGCCCCTTTGGGTTTGTTGAACATGTTCCACTGGTGCTTCTCATATTTTGTGGTGATGGGATACACCTTGATGCCTTTTAGCAAGGCTTCTTGCAGGATCTCTGCTGTGTCATCTACCAGGACACTGGTCCCATTTCTCACCAGGTGTTCTGCTTTCCCTTTGGGGCCACACCTTTTCTCTGTCCTGGAGAGGGACTCCCAGCCATCCCAGGCAGCTTTTGCCTCACAGTAGACATCTCCCCACCTGTCTCCCCCACAGAAAGACACCAGGTGCACTTTGTAGCCCAAGTCCTTCAGTTTTTGCAATGACCTGATGCTCTGGGGGTAGATGTACCCTTTGGTCTCCAGCACATTGTGGTGGTCTATGGCAATCTCAGGCAGGTCCCTTTTATCAAGGGATTTGGATGCTGGTTCTTCCCTTTCATCAAGGGATCTTTCCATTGCTGCTGGCCCCCTGCTGTTGCTGCTGCTGGCTTTCTCTTCAGGTTTCTTTGTGGCAGCAGTTTTGTTTCTTTTTCCCTCCTCCTTCACCATTTCCAGATTGCTAGGGCCCAATTCCAGCTTGGGTGTTTGACCCCTCCCTTTTTGCTGGTCCCTGCTCTCCCTGCAGTTCAGGCTGTCCTCTGAGGAGGACAGGTCATCTGACATGCTCTCCCCAGAAGAGGAGGTGTCCACTTCCTGGGCTCCTTTGGGGCCCATCCTTTCATCAAGGACTTCCTTTTTGGCAGCAACCCTTTGAGCAAGGGTTGTTTTCTCTTCTTTCTTGTCCTCCTCCTTCACCATTGGCTTTTCTTTTGCCTTCTCATTGGCATGTTTTTCTTTCTCCTCATCTTTTTCTTTTTTCTTTTTGTCCTCTTCTTCTTTTTTCTTTTTGTCCTCTTCTTCTTTTAATTTTCTTTCCTCCTCTTCTTCTTTTTTCTTTTTTTCCTCCTCCTCTGCTTCTGCCTGTTCCCTGGCAATCCTTTTTTCATAGGACCTTTGTTGGAAGGCCAGCCTTCTTTTGTGGCTGACTGTCCCACTGCCAGATGGCCTGCCTTTGTTGTTTCTGTTTTTGGTCAGTGGGGCTGCATCAGAAGCACCTGTCCTCCAGGTGTTCTTCTCTTTCTCCTCCTCCTCCTCATCTAGCCTTTTATCAAGGCTTTTCTCTGTCCAATCCTCCTCCCAATCCCATTCATCCCAATCCCAATCATACCATGAGGCCCTCTCCCAGTTCCAGGGCCCATTCACCCCCAATCCTTGTCATCCCAAGACATCCCTTTGACACAAGGGATGTTGGGAACCACCCTTTGGGTGGCTCTTAGCCCTTTTACCAAGGGCTAAGTTTTAAAAAACCTTGTCCAGCTGATGGTGCTGCCAGGTGCAAGCACAAGGGCGATGCTAGAGCAAGGGCAGGTGTCTAGGCTTGAGCCTAAAAACAAACAAACATACACATTCACATCAGGTGGCTTCAAACCCATTTAAGGGGTGATTTTTGGTTTGCTGAAAAACCACATATTACTAAACACCCATCTTATATATATATGTGTGTGTGTGTTTTAAACCAGCATCCCCAAAAAATAAGGAGGGGGTTCTGCAAATATTGCTTTAGTGATCCCAACCAAAACTTCAAAACCTTTGTATCACTAAAACAATACCATGCAGAACCCCCTCCTTAAAACTTCAAAACCTTTATTGTCAACCCAAACATTGTTTTTTAACACCAACTAACCCCAATGTATTTGGAAGGGTGCCTACCCAAACCCTTTATACCAAGGAAACCAAAACCACATGGTTACCCAACAAATTTTGTGGAACCCAACACCAGGCCCAACAGCCCAACAACAGCTTTCTTTTTCTACTACTCTACTTGTCTAGGAGTCTCTCTAGCTGCCACCCTCAGGAAGGTGCTTGCCATCATGAACACCTTTTACCAAGGTGTGCCATCATGAACACCTTTTACCAAGGTGTGCCTGCAGCCTTTTCACCCAGGGCCAATGTAAACCATGTCCTTTCAGCAAGGACTGTAGGGCACAAGTGGAAAGCAATATTGCAAGTCAAGTACCACCAGCCCTTTCAACAAGGACTGCAGTGAATCCTTTCAACAAGGATTGAAGCCAAACCCTGACATATTGAAGAGCAAATCCTTTGAACAAGGACTGGAACAAATACAAGGACCATGCATTTGGCACTGATGTGCCATTAGTGCTAGGGACCCAGCAATTCTTGAACTTGCATGAGTTCTTTTTGCCACCCCTTTCAGCAAGGGTTGGTGGCTGGTTTCCTTTGAACAAGGATTGCAGCATTTCACCTCTTGGTTGATGCCTTAGAACCAGCTTTGTTTGCAAGGCCAACACATTCTTTGATTTCATCCTTGAGCTCCTTTGTCTTGTTGGCAGCCCCTACAATGATCTCTTTTGCTGCTTCCAGGGTATAGTGATTTCCCTTGAGCTTCAGGAGTTTCTTCAGTTTCTCTGCTTGCCCCTGCACATCTTTCATCAAATCTTCATAGTCCTTTCTTGCAGCTTTGGTAAGCCTCCCAGCCTTCTGGCAATTGGAGATTGCATCTTCCATGTTGGAGATGGCCAGGATGCAGCCCTCCTTAGCCTTTTGTGCTTTTACCAAGCACTTGTTCCACTCTACCTTCTCATCATCTTGCTGGCCATCCTTCTCTGTGTCTTTCTCATCTCCATTGGTGATGGCCAGGACAGCTTTGTTTCCTTTGCCTCCTCTGCCTCCTTTGGATCCTTTGCTGCCAGAAGCTCTTTGCCCTTTGCCACCT